TCTCTTGCCTCGCCTTAAGGTAAGGTACTTCTATGTAGCGAATTTTAATAGAAGATACCACCACGAAAAAACGAAACTCAAGACTTGAAGATTCAAGAATTTCTCTACATTTAAATGTTATGCAAGTTTGGATTTTTCCTACACCGTATTTGCATAACGTATTTCTGTGTACTAATAATGCACGTTAAATAGTAGAATTTTTATATCGTATTTGTTTATAGTATTATTATCAAATTCAATAAGCAGGTGAGATGTTTTAACATTTTAAGTTATTTGTTAACGACTTACTTCTTTAGGGTACTTTTGCGCATCATTAATAGCTAAGAATGCATCGGCAATGTATGTATGTAAAATAATAAATCGAAATGTTATATATAAAAATGAATTTCTCCTAAACGGAAAAAATCTCAATTTTGTATTGAGGCAAATATCCAAGCAGACTTTGGAGTCTAAGCGGTATTCTTATAGACAAATGTTTTGAACTTCTATTGTTGATGAAAGGCCGTTCTCTTCAAACTTTTCCATGATACGGCTGAATAGTTTTCCAATCCAATTCTCGATATCTCCCGATACACCTGAATTGTTTCAAATTAAATACAAAATTTTGTTATGGCTTAATGCACCACTTGCGAGCTGTGATTTGAATTTGTTTATATAACTAAATATTTATAAAACTGTTTTTCAGAACCAGCTTAAAAAGAAAAATTCTCTTGTGAATTATAAAAAACGTTGCAGCGATCTATCAATATTTTGACGACCAAAGTTTCGAATTTTACTCAATGTGGACTGAACAAGATTTTATTATGCCCATTTCAGAGAGAGAGAAATAACTATGCGATAATTAATGAGAATACAGACACTCATCTGATTCTATATTTCAATTAAAAGTAAATTTTGATTAAGATATTACATTTTTCACTGGGTTATCTCCCTGTGGGAATGATTGGATGGATGTTTAATTGCAGAGCACACAAAGGCTATCAAAGTAACAGAAAAGACGTCTTCTAAGGAAATTAATTCGTATTAAGTTACATATGCGGAAAACTACGAAAACGACCTGCAATCTGCCTACTCACCTGAAAATGAGCCTGAAATGAGCTATCAGTTTGCAGCGTTTCTCCCATTCGGCCATTTTTAAGCCAGGAATGAAAAACGCGGTGTAATTAAAACCACACTCGATGCGTATTTGGGAGGATCGGAGTTCGATTCTCGGCGAGAGCTTTGCGATTTCCTTCAGTTTACTGGCATCGAAAATAAAACCTAATTTCTCTACAGTGGAAACTAGTCCATATTTGCGTTATATGAGGAATCATGCAACCAGCTTATTTAACCTCTAGGAATATAATTCAGCGCCAAATAGTAATGTTTTGTCTCTCGCCCACTGTAAGCATTTATATGATATTATTACTGTAATGAACATTAACGAATTTCTTAAGTAGAAGTTGGTTTGATTTGGTTTATTGAGATTAAGGTAAAGCTTAAGAAGCAACTTCTTAAAAGTATCAAAGTCTAGCTGCTTAAAGGCAGGGATGCCTCCGTGGAGGACTTTCCAATGGAAACTGGACATATATATGTCACACATAGTGAAAATCCTGAAAACACCCTTATCACCAGCCCGTTCGCCTGGATTTGAACATTGGTCAGAATTACCAAAGTCCAGCGACTTTATCATTCTGCCACTGTTGGGCTGTTAAGCAGAAGAGGCTGTTGAGCATTTAATACCTCATCATTTAAAATTTATCCTACTAGATGCCGGCAGTTAGGTGGTGGAAGTTTCTGAAATCGCCTTAAAATATTATTTGGGCCCATCTAGTTGGACAGTGGTTCTTTAGCTGTGAAGGCAATTTATTTTTCTAAATTTGAAGTAGTTATTTACTCTTGAGATTTTGGTTTTTTCTATAATTAAGTGGTAACTATTTATTTTGAAATAATAATTTAATTTGATATAGCACAGCTTTGGGTTCATAAAAATGTATTGCTTTTTGTTTGAAATCTAACATTTCACAACAGATTCATCCGTCTGTTATAAAATATGAATCCTTTTTATACTTCGGAACAAATAAAAAGGAATATAAAGTCACATTACCCAGATTAAATTTTTTTTTAGATAACGTAATATTACTTGTATGAAAATTTCTAAGCTCGAAGGCTATACTGCAGCTCGAAGGCGCTAGAAACATCGTGCAGTAAACGTCATTCTACTGCCCCATTTCACAGATCTCCTCTCCATTTTTGATGATGTTAAAAAACCCTTCCAGAGGAGCTTGGAAAAGGTATTATAGCAAGTTAAAATACCTTAGGGCAAGATCCTCAGAAAGGATTTTAATCCTCAAAATCTTGCTCTCTTCTGCACCTCAAGATGCTTCAAAAAGCATCTAAATCCATGTCTTAAATGTTTAACGTAACATAACCAAATTACAGAAAATTCATGTCTGAGAGCTATTTTGTGCATAAACAAAGATGCAACGATAGAAAGCCAGTGGAATGGGACAATTAATTAACTCCTTGCTATTATATTCGCAACGTAGGACTGCAGGCTCTCCTTGATTAGTAACATGAAGAAGCCGAGGGGGAAGCCTCATCTGATGAGAAAAGAGAGAGCGCAGGATTGCTGACAAGGGTTATTGATTACTCCGATTTTTAAGAACGCTTCTGAGAAACTGGAAATTGGACCAATTCGAAATTTCTTAAATCGAAACTTTATTTGATAAAAATGGGAAGGGGTTACAGCCAAACAGTGGCATATCACTAAACTGAGACGAAAAGAGTGGCTAATCTCTCCAACAAAACAATACCACATTCTTAAGAGGAAGATAGCTGTAGACAACTTCTTGAGACATAAACTTCTTAAAAAGTATCAAAGGCAAATTGCCCTAGAAAGTAAAAGACAGATGCGTTGTCCAACTCTAACGGCTAACTGGGAAGATTGACTAAATAGAGCTCAAAAACTGTGAGACTGTGTACACACATATTGTATGAAACATTTTATAGCAAGTAAATTAGCATTATAATTTTAATTAATTAGTAAATATGTAGTATTTCCAACCTTAGTAATATTTTCGATAATCTCTGTATTTTTAATACGTTTCGTGATTTTCACCGGGCTTGCGAATGAATTAAATTTAGTAAAAGAAGAGAAACAGCGTCCCCCCATCACGAATGACTCACATAACGAAATCCATAGCTGAACTCATTATTTTCGTTATGCGAGGACCACAAGTTTCAAGAAACTGCAGTTTTGTAGTGCAGTAAGGCTATACCTGTACCACCAATAGGGAACTTGTGGTGTTCCGCCCACTTCTACCACTGTTGCTATAAATGACAAAACGTTTCATGGAGCTCCTCAAAGAAGAAATGAACAGTAATACTAAACTATAATTAAATTAGTAAAATCTAGTATTAACTGAGACATCTCGGATTACCATCTTAATGTTCAGAACATGAACTATGGTGCATCGATTAGACACCATTGGAATAGTGTAAGAATATGAATTCCAGAAAAGTGAGGCAGAAAAATATAAATAAGGACTATTCCCATGCAGATTCTGAAATGGAGTACGAAATATGGATGAAAGCTACAAAGGCATTTAAAAGTGCTACACATTCATTGGTGAAAGAGTCATTGGTAAAATATCATCTTTACATGTGATCATTACGCAAGGAAATTCTTTTTTTTTTTTTTTTCAACACACATTCTCCCAAATGATAGCGTAAATGATCTAAATTATGAAATCTAAATCCCAACTTTAGAAGCACAATATATGACTAGCTAACTTTCATATATAATTGAGAAGAACAAACTGTCGCCTTTGGCGAAACTCTAACAAAATGGCAAACGTTATTCAATAACATTTCAGCATATTGTTACACCATGGTGGAATTCATTTGCAAAGTACGTTGTAAGACTTAAATTTGTTGCATATTTATATTTGAGTTCATAATCCATAAATGAATAAAATATAGTCTAGAAAATGCTCTAAAATTTTTTCACTTTTAATAATGTTCTTTGTATAGTATTTCATTTCCCCAAAACCGTCTCCCTGTTTTTCTATAAATGTTCTCCCATTTCATGAAACTTGCCTTTTAAAAACTTGGCACACATGTCAGATTTCATTTTCGGTTCATTTTGGCTTTCACAGAATAAATTGATTTCTTGCAATTCTTTTCGCCTTATTATTTATTATCTTTTCACCTTATTATTTATTATATTTTCGCCTAATTATTTATTATATTTTCGCCTTATTATTATTCGCCTATTGTTTTCAAGTTCCTTTACTTTTTATTTATACTGTCAGGTTTCAACAGAAGGTAGACGGTCTCATAGCTCAATTAAGTAGAGTCGAATTGGACACAAAATTAAACCCACCAAAAATCTACAGTTAATTTCGCCAACGATTAAAAAATATGTTATACCAATTATTTTCTTATTTCACGCATTCATGGATGACATGAATCCAAAACTGATAAATTGAGTTAAAACTTATTAAACTAAGACACCTTTCACGAATGTACTATATTTGCTCATTTCAAAGAAAATTCCTTCATTTTCTAATGCCAGTGCTCGTAAGAAGTGGACATGCTATGCTCGTAAGCAACAGCTGTCGTACTTAGAAAAAAATCATTCTTTTAAACATCATGTTAGCTTCCCAATCTGGAGGAACGCATTTTTCGATCTGGATAAAATCTCAAGATAAGCACATAAGTATGTGAAAATTAATTCCCACGGAAGTCAACAAAGAAGTCAAATAATTCGGACGTGAGACGAAATTCTTGATTCTGTCGTTTTATCTCAAAAATCCTCCAGACAAGACCACTTTCTTTGACATTTTAATTTCACGGCAAAATTTCAAAGAAAATATGAAAATATGCCAGGAAGCGTGCTAGCACGCATGTAAGAGACATGCTTTTAATGCAAATACTCATATATGTAAAATAAATTAGCTTCTGGAGTAGAGGTGAAGGTTAAGCAAGAAATATTGCATAAAAGAAATCCTACTTACCCTTGTTCTTTTTGGGTACCGTTGAAACCTGAATACCATCTCATCTTTTGCAAGTAATCAGTCCTTTCATAAAAGTGACCATGCAGTGTACTGAACACGAATCCCTAAATTTGCTCTTTGCTGCAGGCCTCCGTTATAAATGAAAATGGTTAAGCTGATGCTGATAACCTGGGGCCTTTCATAAGAGTTCTGTATCTTTATATATTTCTGTATCTTGTCCTCGATATGGATGTGAATTTCACAATTGATCCTTTTGATAATCTTTGACATTGCAAAAGACCTTTATTCGCTTTCGACAATATTTATCTTATGGTGGCAGCAAACATTAGAGATCCGTGAGAAAAAGGAGACCCCATTTTTTTTACGAAACAAAAGCGTTAAAGACATTAGATGTAGCTCAGATTAAAGCTTTTTGGGAAAAAAAAAGATACTTCTGAAAACAAGAAATTAAAAGAAATCTTGCTGAATATACTGTTTTTCCTAAAAGCCTTTTAAGTGCCTTAAACACATGTTACGTATTAAAAATATTGAGAGAAAAATCACAAATTGTTTTATATGTTTTTAACTAAATTGGAAATTTAAGGTCTGAGTGTTATTTGCCGGTTGCGTAGCTTCATTTCTTTTACGTTCGTTTTCAAGTGTGTAAATATTTTTGTTCTTTTTATAAAACTGAATTTTTAGCTGGAAGGCTTACTTCATATGAAAGGCTATATCAAACCTGAAGCTGCATTGTCATTTACTAATTAATATTCATTTCCATGCATTTCAAATAAGTCTTTAGTTAGCTAAATTTTCTTCTGTCAAAACTCTTTGCACTACTACTACTTATATAGTTCTTTTATCTTATTTTTCGACAAGTAATCACTCTTTTCATATATAGCTATATTTTCAAGTTGATTATTATATTACTTGTTGACATATGAAGCACTTTCTGACCACAAACTAATCTAAAGTTAAATCCAGAAATTCCGTTATTATCAATTTAGAAACGAAATAGACCCTTAAATCAAAATACCTTATTTACTCGCATACTTCTCCCTCTCGTGTACTTTTTTTCGTTAGATTTTCAGCATGTGGTGTAGAAAATTCTGATTTATAATAACAGTGTAAAATGTATGCAAAAATAGAAAAATATTTTGCGTTAGTGAAAGGAAGCTTATTGAAATGCTGGTCTTTCAAAGTACATAATATAATAACATTAGCGTGTCTCGATATGTGCTTTTTAATGTGCTATATTTGTCATTAAAGTCATCTCTTTAGCAATAGTATACGCCGCATACTTTCACCCCTCGACGCTTACAAATGGTAAAATTAATATAAAAAATCTGATGTGTACACCACATGACTTCCTTGTACGGAATATTAAATTATACGCATTTTTTCTTGCATATTATTTAAACTTATTAGATTGAATTAAACCTACTTCGCCGACAGCGCATAAACTACAATTGAATAAATGCATTCTTTAAAATCCACTTTGTTTACCATAGCGACACTCTGGCGCTAGGTTTATTTAACAGTATTATATTTCGTTCATATTATAACTCAGAATGCACAAAATGTATATCATTTAAATAATTATCTAATCGTTGCCACATGTTCTATTCAAATACTATATTAAATATAGAACTAGATATAAAAGAAATTAAGCAAACAAAACAAAACAGAAACAGTTTTTCACAGACGATTGAGTATTTCTCATTTAATTAATTCAGTTCTCACTTCGCGAGAAGGCAAAAATACATAAAAACTCAAAATATCTCTATTAAAAATTACGAAGTAAATCTCAAACGCTTATTTCCTCAAAAAAATTCCAGAAAGAATTAAGCATGATTTAATTGGCAGTAATAAATGAATGCATTATCTTTGTTGTTGCGAAGCTAAGTTTCTCTAGATTGGCAACAAATCCACTAGTCTTCTGTTTCAAATGTAAACATCAATGGCCGCCATTAAAAAAGGCTTAGCGGCAATTAAACAACTTTAAAATTGCTGATAATTCTAAAAATATTGCATACAGATTTACTAAAGGCATAAAATCCTTAACTGGAAGATAAAAACAACATAATTCAATCATTTTTAAAGCCAAAAATGTACAATTTACAAACATATAAGAGTAAAGAAACTGAGATCACTGAGCCGGGTAATAGAGTGGATATAATATAAAATATATTATATACGTTTGGTGCTGCCGATTGCAACCAAAATACGAGGTGCACATCTACATGTTATAGCAGTCCTATATACAAAATTTCAACGTTCTGAGGCTACTCGTTTTTGAGTTATGCGAGATACGTACGTACGCACGTACGTACATACGTTCGTACAGACGCCACGAAAAATTCTCTTCAGAATTCATTTTAAAGCAGTTTTTAGTTTTTTTGGAGGAAAACAGTCTTTTATTCTGTCCTTACGTATAGATATCACGCAAAACCATCGTTAAATTGCATTCGAAAGCGGTCAAAGCGGATATTTTCGTTGAAATATGCTGCCTGAAGCTTTTCGCGATTACAATACTTCCTTTTTACTTCGTACAAGGAAGTAAAAAGAAAGGCAATTGTGCAAGTGAATTCGGCATATGTTGGAACTCGAATATTCGTTCAGGTTATCATTGCTTCCGTAATATAAATCTGCTCAGTAACAATAAACTGCTGTAGGTGTTAGAGTTCGGAATTTGAATCCTGTGCTTTTTTACAGTATTAATCTGCATTCCATAGTAAATAAAGATGAATGTTTTTTTATAGGTAATAAAAATAAAATATATTACCTATTGTATTACTCGCTGTTCCATGTTTTCTGAACATATTGCTGGTTTCTACTGCTTAATAGTGACTTTATACTTCTCGATGTTTTCTTGCCGAGTGCGGATTTGTGAAACGTAATTTTGAACATACGTGTAATCTTAATTGTTTCCATTAAATTTGCTCAACGGTGGAATTCCATTCGCATGTTGTTCAACGTTCATTCATCAACACTGAATGTTTGCTGGCATCAGAACTGGCCAGAAGTTGTCAACAGTTTTAAAGGATTTCCATCGACTGAAAATGAAGCCAAAGAAATCGCACACGTTATTAAAGCAATTGGCGACGAACATTTTTCAAATGTGGAGCAAGGAGAAATCAAAGAATTAATCTAAAATGAAGATCGAGAATTAACGAAGAAGAATTACATGATCTTAAAACCAGCCGATAGTGACAGAAGGGATAGAGAAGACAATATCTGCCTTTAACTTACAAGACTTTGATTATTGTTAAAAAAAGTCACAGAAATTATCTATTTATTCACTGGAGATAGATTCAAATGAAAACGGAAGACACAATATATATGACATTTGAAAGCTTTGCGCTTCTTACCGGGATACTTTTAAAAAGTTACGTCAGTCACTGTCTCAAAGCAAAAATCACCACCTCGAAAAAACATTCATGTACCTACTGACTAAGCAGTAATAAAAATCTTTTCAATTAACGTTTTTTCCATTCGTCACTTTTAATTGTAACAATATTTAGGTTTGTTTAAACTATACTTACTTTCTCAATATGAACTATGCTTGAGACATTTTTTTTCATAAAAAGTTAGCGTTACAGAATGCGATTTTACCTAACGCACGATGTATTAAAGATTTTACCTAACGCACGATGTATTAAAGATTTTACCTAACGCACGATGTATTAATGACGAAACCCCAGTGTTTGGCAAGATTTTATTGTATAAGTGTCCCTCTCCCCTTTCTTTAGTTCTTTTAACACTGACAACAATTTTTTAAAATTGTTCAGTTATATTAATTTTCATGAAATTAATATTTATTAGTGTTTTCTAACAATGAATTATTACCAGTGTTATTTTTGTTCATACCGCTTAAGAAATTTTGACCCAAGCTGTTAAAAATGATAGTATTTTTCTTCCTTTTTTTAATTTACTTTTTCATTTTTGAGCATTTTTTTCTTGAATCGAAAGCTTTAGCCAAATCTAAACTTCGAAAATACTTCGAAAGCTGTTTCTAAAGAAAAGTTAAAATAAAACGATTTATTCATTTAACATAATCGTCATCTTTATTTATTTTAAAGACAATGAAATCTAACGAAAACATCACTAGCATTATCTCTGATTATTTGAAAAAACTAAGGTCCTTTCTTGCTTTTAGACATTCCTTAACTGTTAGATTCAATAATAAATCGAAGCCAAAAAAGCAAATCTGCAAATTTTGTTCGATATTATTCACAACAAAACGCTCATTTTTCATTTAAGGATAACTTAATATGTAATTCATCCCTTTTAACGCATCATTTGATTCATTCCTTTTAACGCATCATTTGATTCAAATGCTAACATTCTACGTTCTTTTTTTGTTCTTTTTTATGTATGGCTTAGAAAATCCTTTGCCTCCCAGCTTGATCTCCTTAAGTTACACAAGTACTTTATTTTGCGAATCTACATTTAAACGCATATATAAGATATCGCAAACATTGTGTGGGAAGAGAAAGTTACTCGTATTTTATTAATTGTGGTAACTTCGCTTCTAAAGAAACTTTATTACGAGTATTTCATACGTAATCATCCGAAAGAACCTTAGAGAAGAGCTTAATTTCCATTGAATGGTACAGCTTTTCGTTTTAGCTTTATCCAACATTAATCACCGATTTCACCACCCAGATTGTGAAAACATTTATCATTGAGTAGGGACGATTATAATGAATTCAGTAGTTTGGAATATATACACCAGATAATTCATTCTAGTTCTAATTATATGACATAATTCATACATACTATTAGGACTTTACATTTATTCTACAAGTAGCCAACTTTCTAAAGTTTATAGAATACTCAGTTTTAATTAAACATTGATTAAAAAAACTAAACTCAGTGGCGTAACAGCCCTAATGGACCAAGGTCTGCAATGGCCGAAAATCTGCTTTCTTGACCGTGGGCCCCGGGGTGCGTAAGCATATGCCCTGAACAAGTGGTCAGCTTGTCGCAGGACCCCCCAGTGTTTAGTCCCCAAGCGAGCTTGGTACTCATTTTATCGACCCAAGTGATGGAAAGCAAGGGATGAAAGGTTGAGTCGACCTTGCCCATCCCGGGAATCGAGCCCCGGATCTGTGGTGCTGCTGCGCGATGCGCCACCGGGCTTCAAGCATTGATAAAAAGTAACCTTAATT